ACTTCAAATATAATATTAAAATACTATTATCAAAAGAAAAAGAATTGTGAATTGTGTGTTTATTAGTGAGTAAATACATGTGATTTATATTTGTAAATAATTGAGGTTGAATTTAGTTTTTTAATTAAAATTTTAATCGAATCTAATATAGTGGATAGTAACTGCGAAGAATTTGACTAGTTCAATATGAGATGAGATCCTCTCTATTTTCATTTTCTCTCTTCATTACTATAGTTTTCAAATATTTTAAAGTGTATAATAAACTATTAAATCCATGTAATGTCACCCTATTGTATTTATGTTTTTCAAACTATGGTAAGAGAATAAATGAGATTTTTTTTAAAAGTAACATATTTATTCAATTTAAATACTAAAATAACAAATACCAAAATAATATTGTTTTCAATTTATTTACGAAAATAACGTAGTTTTAGAAAAGAATAAAGGAGGTGTCATTTGAACGGGAGTGTATGTAGTAAAGAAAACTCATGCGCCATTTGATTTGTCTCATACATGCATGAGTAGTCAAATCAAATGGTGCTTACACTGTGACATGCTCTAATTGGAAGTGCATGATCCATATCAAATGACGCATCCTCCTTATATTAATCTTTTTAAATTTTTTTTACTATGAAATGTAATTTAAAATAGGTTAAAAATTTAGAAAAAGATAAAAACAAATAGAAAACAAATAAAAATATTATTAAAATACATCAAAGGTTACAAAAGTTGAATAAAAAATCAATGTCCGACCTGATCAAAACGTCTATCGGTTCCACATCCCGGCGCATTAGCATGCCTCTGAGGTCTACCACAATTTTGTTGAGGTGTTTATGATCTTTGCGTATTGACATGTAAAAAAGGTACTTGGTGCGAGGGTACTGGCGTATTTGACATATTTTCAATCATTTATCCTCAATAGTTGGGGGATTGCTGCCAACGGCACTGTTGTAATTTAATTTCGTGCCCATGTTTTTGAAGTTGGGTCGCAGTGGTTGGGTTAGGAATTTGTATATTGAATCGTAATGGTTGTTGTGGGGTAAGGAAGTCAAATAGTGGTTAGGGGTTTTGGTGGTGGGATATTTGCGTGTTCATTTTTAAGAGGCTATGGTGGGCTGGGGTGGAGTTGAATAAGTCATCGGGGCTAAAGGCAGATGTGGTGTCAGTGTGTGGATGTTGGCGGTAAAGGTCAGGCTCTTGTTGTTGTGTTTGGGTGGGTGACATGAATGAGTTGCGGGTTTGGAAGTTTGATGGTTGGGTGTACATGGTATGTTGATGGTGTAAGGTGGGTAGCTGGGATTGGATGGGTATGTATTGTGCTGGGATTGGGTGGGTATGTATTGTTGTTGGGTGTGGTGCGAGGTTAGTTGTTGGGCAGGTGTTTGTTGTTGTGTGTATGACAACATGCATGTTGGCACGAATCTATCAAATATGTCAGCTCATACACAAATTGTTGTGTTGTAACCGACCTAAACCAAATCATATATTGATTACTTGGTCTAGCCCCTTCCACGAAAGGCTTGTTTAAGATGACATTATCTTACCGAAAGAGAAGCAATTTTGGAAGATAGGGTATATAGGTCCATAGCACATTTGTATAATCACCAATCCGATGCAGGATCATCGGAAACTCGGCTCTTAGTTGATATGCAATGAAATTATGTCTGTCATTAGCAACAATACTTCGTTGAATGTGAGTACCATAATCTCGCATATTGTTCAAAGATACAATTATACTCCGTCGTACAGGAAAGCATGGATAGCTAGAACTAAGGTGTTTGAAACGATGTTCAAAAATTGGGAGGATTCGTACAAAGAACTTCCAAAATACTTGGTGACACTTAAGCAATATGCTCCAAGGACTATCGTCATTTTGGAGACCTTGCTGGCATATACCCCAGAAGGGATTTGTGTGGAAATGGAATTTTCACCGACTCTTCTGGGCGTTTGAACCATGTATCAAAGGTTTTGCATACTGTAAACCTATTATACAAATTGATGGAACATGGATGTACGGGAAATATAAAGAAACACTACTCATGACAGTGGTACAAGATGGCAACAACAACATTTTTCCAATCGCCTTCGCTTTAGTTTAAGGAGAAACTGTTGAGGATTGGAGTTTTTTCCTAAAAAATCTTTGATTACACGTGTCTCTCCACCTAACTTATGTTTGATTTCTGAAAAACATCCATCAATCGAGAGTGCATATAAGAATCTTGATAACAACTGGCAGGATCCTCCTTCAACGCATGTCTATTGCATTAGACACATCACTCAAAATTTTATGCGGGAGATCAAAGACAAGACGTTGCGGAAGAAGGTTGTGAACTCAGGGTATGCATTAACAGAGCCTTCCTTCAAACACTACCGTAAAAAAATTTGATTGACAAACACAGTGCATTAAGATGAATTGACAATATTCAATTAGAGAAATGGATCATAGCATACGAAAATGGCCAACGATGGGGGCACACGACAACAAATCTCATGGAATCAATGAACTTTGTATTCAAAGGCATTTGAAATCTACTGATAACCACTTTGGTAAGGGAAACACATTTTAGGTTTGGGGTACTTTTTGATATCAAACATTTAAAATGGAATTTTGTCTTACAATCTGGACAGCTGTTCAGTGATAGTTCGATGAAATTCATTAAGGATGAAGCTTCTAAAGCTAACACACATGTGGTCACAGTATTTGGCCATAATAAAGGTTGGCTCAGTGATGCTGAGTTAATGAATCACAATGAAGGGAGGCCGAGAGGATCCAACCGAGTGGAACTAGATAGAAGTTGGTGCGACTGCTCCCATGTAATAGCTCCCATGTAGATAGAAGTTTCAAGCCTTTCGTATGCCTTGCTCCCATGTAATAGCAGCATGTTCAAAGGCTCGCCATGACCCTTCCAACTTTCAATCCGTTGTTTACCAAATCATTAGTCTATGCAATATCTACAGCACTAGCTTTCAGATAGTAGCAAAAGAGGACTATTGGCCTGCATATGAAGGGAAATAGTCTGGCACAATAAAATTATGCGAAGAAAGAAAAATGGTCACCTTAATAACACGCGTATTCGAACGGAGATGGATACGGAAAACAAAATGGTAAGATTATGTAGTTCATGTCGTCAGCCCGGGCACAATCGTACAAAATGTCTCAATGTTGGATCAAGCACAACATCAAAATTTTAAATATAACCTTGTCTCTTTATATCAACAACAACTTTCATTCCATTAATATCATAACATTCAATAGCAATAATTTAAAAACAACAATTAATAATAATTTAAACAATTAAAAAAAACAAAACAAACAAATATAATGACTAAACAACATAACTAAGTGATTACAACCATCAAGACAATTTCCTGAGAACTGTACATCAATGTATGAACATCATTGTCGGTTGTAACATTCTCCCAAAAACGAACTTCTCCATTTTGGTCAAACGTGGTAACAAGCATTTCAATTCTTCTAATCTTTTCACCCTCTGAAATGTCTCCATCTAATCAGTGGTCCGGACTCCTGTTAAGATGTTCTAACGTTAGTGTATTTTAGAGGTGAATCTTCATTGGAGGTTTGACTGGTGAGAAAATTAAATCGGCATTTCTCTTGTGAATACGTGGAACCATATAGAGATAAGAGGAAGAAGAAGAGGAAGCCATTTTGAAAGAAAAATGGAAGACGAAATGAGAAAAATGAAGAGAAGGTGGTGCAGAGAAAAATGAAGAGAAAGCGGTGCAATATTTATAGAAGGGGTAGTGTAGTAGTAGCCACTTGAAATGGCGTATACACACATGATTTTTTTATTAAAAAAAATACAATGAGGATGTGCCATTTCATATGACGCATGAGTAAAAATTCAAAGGGGAGCGTCGTATGAAATGACTTGATGAACATGAAGTTATTTGGAATGGTGCATGGGTATAAGTTTAAAGGGATGCACCATTTGATTTAGAGTATCCTTGTTGATATATTCTGAAACTATATTTATCGGAAATTTGCTGATTCTATCAAAAAAATTCAAATTTTCTATTTTTTTTTAATTTGAAATTCTGAAATTTTTGATAAAAAATAAAAAATTTCTGAATTTCTTTTAAAGAATATTGGAATTTAAAAAAAAAAACAATTTTTTTAACACTACAAGAAGATTCAAAATTTTCAGTAGTGTATCAAAATTTTCAAAATTTGCAATACTGTACCAAAAATTTTAAAATTTCTAATAATGTAATTTTTATTTATTAAATATGGACTATCAAAAATTTTACTTAGATTAAAATTTCTGATATCAATTGATAAATTTTAAAATTTTCAAAATTTAATAAAATATCTGAAAATTTAAAAATGTCGGGTAGCAAAATTTTAGAATACCCTATTTAAAATTTCTTTTACTTTCTTCTACTGCCCTCTCTCCTGCTCAATTTTCAGCCCTTAAATTTAATCTAACCATTTCATCTTATCAATTTTTTAATGCAGATTTTTTATCTCTATTTTTCCCAACCATTAGAACAAAGCAGAATGAGCAATATGACAAAAGAAACAAGAGAGATCCAAATCCATAATTCGGAGATAACAAGTTAAAATTTTAAAAATAAAATAAAATGGAGATGATAAAAAATGGAGAGGATATAACTCTTTAATATATATCTATATATACTTGAATAGTCCTAGAATGTTGGAAAGTATTTAAATTTCCGCGTGAGTCCCATTTCAAGTTCTATAATTGACATTTGATTTGAACACTCAAATAAGAATTTTTTAATTTGTGTTATTGTGGAAAAAAAACTCACATCTCCAACGCGCTTATATTAATTTCACCTTGCAACTTGCAATTTTGCAATCTACTTATTTTGTTTCTTACTAAACTTTTTTATTTTATTTTTATCCTATGCTCCCAACCATACTAGCTAACAACATTAATGTCTTTCATTCAACCACAATCTATCTATAGTCTTTCACTTCCTCTCCATCTAATTCCATACTAAAAAAAAGCACTTCCATGGAGCTTAATGTACTCTTTTTTATACTTCTCTTTTGTTCTACTTTCATCTCACACTTCACTTCAGCTGCTACACTAAAGCTCAACACTCAAGAAGGTAATTAAAACTCATTTCTCCATTTGTTTAAGTTTCAAATAAGCTTATTTAAGCTATTCTTATAGAAACCTAAGCTTCTATGAAGTTCTTCCACCCACATACTCTCAATATTATACTCTCGCAAGAAGTTAGTTACAAGTATTAATTGTAATTAACTTCTTGATCTAATACTCGTATTAAAGTTAGTTACAACTAACTCATTATAATTAGTTGTAACTAACTCTGGCATCTAGATGCAATCAACCGCGATTGATACAACTTCAACTGCGGTTAAGGCTATTGATTCATTCATATGTGATGTTAATTTTTTATTTTTGTGATTGTAGTGAAGGCATTGAAGGAGATAGGAAACAAGATTGGGAAGAAAGATTGGGATTTTGGAGTAGATCCTTGTAGTGGAAAAGGAAATTGGAATGTTTCTGAATCTGATAATTGGAAAGGTTTTGAGAGTTCTGTGATTTGTGATTGTTCTTTCAAAAACAATTCTTCTTGCCATGTTGTAAGCATGTACTGGCCTCTCTTCTTTTCTATTTTTATTTTTCTTGGATTCTTCAAATCTAAAACATGTGACAGAAAATCACATGCAATCATGTGCAATTAAAATATGGAAAAGATATGTTTCTACACAAGTTTTGATTGGTTAATGTTTATGTTTTTTTTACTATAAAAACTTTTATGTTACCATCAAATATTCACGTGCAATGCAAAGAGTTAATTTTTTAACATAGAAAAAAAAAAGTTGAGTTTTTTTTTTTTCTTTTTTAAGAAAGTTTTATATGGATGTAAGTTCATGCTTTGTTGGATTCAATGAACACCAATGAAAATGAATTTTTTTTTATTTTTTTTTATTTTATAATTTCAGTGATTTATGTCTATCCATAAACATATGTGACTTGTCAAATTGCCACATTGGTCTAAATGTGAATGATTATTAAACTCAATTATTAATAATAAAAAATTTGAATATTGTTCAACATTGACTTTGAAAAACATAACAAAACATTGACTTAGAAAAGGATGTGCTGTCTGTGTCTTTCCATTCTTTTGAGACTAAAATTTATTTATTTATTATCTTGTCACAATTTTGTGTTTAATTGAACTTTTTTTCTTTGGCATTTTTGTTATGATTAAATACTAATTTTCTTTTTATTTTATTTTATAATTTCACATTATATTTCAATAGGTCCTTGAAAGAACAGAATCTTTCGGGTATTCTGGCGCCGGAGTTTTCCAAACTTCCCCATTTAAAAATATTGTAATATTACTAAACCTCGTTGTCTTTAAAACTACGATTTTCTCATGCGATCTATACTCTTACTATTGAACTGACACCTTATGAACAATGTCATGTATTTTAAATCAGAGACCTTAGTCGAAACATCATCACCGGTTCTATACCTCGACAATGGACTACAATGAACTTGGTTGAGTTGTAAGAACTTTTCTTTGGTTATTGCCTCATAGGTTTCTTGTTTCTCAAGTAAACAAACTGAAAATGACACACTAAAGTTTTGTTCACTATTGAAAATATGCAGATCTTTAATGGGAAACAGATTATCAGGACCTTTCCCTAAAGTTCTAACCAATATTACAACTCTAAAAAACGTGTAAGTTAAATCACTTATTTATTTTCATACAAATTGTGTTTGTGTTTGTGATTGTGATCACACTTGTTAATTTAATATTTTTATGAATGTTACAGGAGTATTGAAGGAAATTTATTTTCCGGGATTATTCCGACAGAGATTGGGAAGTTGATCAACTTAGAAAAACTGTAATTCTCTTGAAATTCTGTGTCTTCTTATTGGAATCGTAATTTCTAATTCTTTCTGTAATGTTTAACATGAATGAACGAATCGTATTTGTTTAGCATTCTTCAATCAAATGCATTCACAGGAGCGTTACCGTCTGCGCTTTCCAAGTTGACAAAATTGAATGATTTGTAAGTATTTGCTCTCTTATCAATTACCGAATCAAAAAACCAAAATCGGTTTTCTTTGCATACTGACTAATCTTTCGGAAAATTATTGTAGGAGGCTAAGTGACAATAACTTCTTCGGGAAGATACCTGATTTCATTAGTAAATGGACAGTGATCGAAAAACTGTAAGTTTCCTAACTAGTTGTCTATCGCAAAACGTGGACAATAGCAAATTGTTCGAATTCCACTATGCTACAATGAAAACACTAGGGAACCGCAGAATTAATAATAGCGATTTGTTCATATTCTGCTATGCTAAAATGCTATAGCCGCTATTTGACAATACTGTTTTGTTTTGTATTATTGTATACTATACATTTCGTATCAATGTTTTTCGATTTTTTGGTTTCAGGCACATCCAAGGTTGCTCTCTTGAGGGGCCTATACCTTCCAGCATTTCTGCATTAACAAAATTAAGTGATTTGTATGCTTCTAACACTTTAATATATTTAGAATTTTTTTAATTATAGAAGATGAATTTTTCAAATGAATATTTTGTTTCTGTTTTTGTTTATACTTAGGAGGATAACTGATTTAAGAGGTAGTAGAAGTTCTACTTTCCCACCACTAAATAATATGAAATCCATGAAGACACTGTGAGTTCAATTAATGACTTAAAACCACTTACTCTTTTTCTTTAAGTATTTCTAAAAGGACTTATATTTTTACTCGGACATGGTAATGCAGAGTTTTGAGAAGATGCGCGATTAAAGGAGAGATCCCGGAGTATATTGGGGTAATGGAAAAACTGAAAATCTTGTAAGTGATTATACAAGCAATATAGAAAAATATCTGTTTTTCTTTTCAAATTAACTCTTTCTTTATACTAAACATGTTCATATAGTTATCTTAATCGATGCAGAGATTTGAGTTTCAATAGCTTGAGTGGAAAGATACCTGACTCTTTTACCGAGCTTGACAAAGTGGACTACATGTAAGCGAACGGATTGAACCAAACCCGAACGAAACATATTTTTGGAACATCTCGTATAACAAAATACAATTTCTGTCGAATAATGCAGGTACCTTACTTCGAACAACTTATCAGGAACTATACCGAGATGGGTCCTTGAAAATAACAAAAATATGTAAGTGGAATACCTTCAAATATGCTACATATATTTCAAAGCATTTAGTCCTAACATAAGATACATATTTTGGTGCACAGTGATATCTCTAACAATAACTTCGAATGGGAAAACTCAAGTCCACTCGAATGTCCACGAGGGAGCATGTAAGTTTCATTCAAAGCTTCGAGTTTTTGTTATCGCGAATGAACATGGTTATCAGTGTAACGCGTTTTTGTTTTTGTTTTTCTTCAGAAACCTTGTCGAGAGCTACTCTTTATTATCGTCGAAGAAGTAAGACGGTGTGCTTTAAACATAATTTTTTCCTACCTTTTTGCTTAGTGCATACATAACCTTATTCTTCGCTCTGTTGCAGAAGTAACATTCATTCATGTCTAAAACGGAACTTCCCGTGCTCGTCGGATAACCCTCGTACGTGTGTGACCGTACAAACTACAAAATATTCTTATATCTGATGTGCTGCTAATAATAGAGATTCAAATTTTGTTAACAGGTCGTTACTCCATGCGCATTAACTGCGGTGGTAGTGAAGCAAATGTTAGTGGTAGTATTTATGAAGCGGACACGGAACGAAAAGGCGCTTCAATGTTATTTATCACTAACGGTTGGGCTCTTAGCAGCACAGGGGGCTTCATGGACAATGATATAGATTCTGATCCCTACACTGTGACCAATACTTCTAGACTTCTTAATGTCTCTATGATCAACTCGAAACTCTACACAACAGCTCGCGTTTCGCCTCTTTCTCTCACATACTATGGCCTATGTATGATAAATGGAAACTACACTGTCAAACTTCACTTTGCAGAGATTATTTTCATCAATGATAGGTCATTTAACAGTCTCGGGAGGAGGATATTCGACGTCTACATTCAGGTAACTATTACTTTATATGATCGAGATGAAAAATAATTGAGTTTTGTTGAACCACGCGTTGATTTAGATGGAATTATTGATATGTCATGTAATTAAGGACGAATTGGTGTTGAGAGACTTCGATATCGAACAAGAAGCAGGTGGTACTGAAAAGGCGATTGTGAAGAAATTTAATGCAACTGTCACACAGAATACTTTGAGGATTCAATTCTACTGGGCTGGAAAAGGAACCACCGGAATACCAACAAGAGGAGTTTATGGACCTTTAGTTTCTGCTATTTCAGTGGATCCTAGTAAGTCATATCCTGCACCTTAGATTCAATTCTAGCCAACTTGGACAAAGTCATTATTTTTTAGCTTCTGATTAGAGTTAAGTTTTCGATTTTCATTTCTACAAAAGCTATAAATAGATACTTTTTCCTTTCGCAGATTTTAAACCTCCATTAGAGCACGAAAACAACAACAGAACTTATGTCATACTACTAACAGTTGGCATAGTCAGTGGCGTTTTAGTCGTTGTCCTTATTATGCTGGCTATCATGAGGAGGAAGGGAATGTTAGGAGGCAAGGATCCGGTTTATAAAGGTATGGAATGTTCCGCTAAGTTTCTTCGGTTCTTTTGTTTATAATAAATACTTCATTTTGAAATTTCCATTTTTTTCATAGAGCTTCAAGGTATAGATCTGCAAACAGGATTGTTCACTTTAAAACAAATAAAAACCGCTACCAAAAACTTTGATGCAGAAAATAAACTCGGCGAAGGTGGCTTTGGTTCCGTTTACAAGGTATTTTGATGCATCTTAAGTTTATATTCCTGCTTTACTACAAATGCAACACAAAAAATTACCTTAAGCGTGTTGCAGGGGCTACTATCAGATGGTACAGTAATTGCAGTAAAGCAGCTATCATCAAAATCTAAGCAAGGAAACCGCGAGTTCGTGAATGAGATAGGAATGTTATCTGGACTTCAGCATCCGAATCTTGTTAAGCTCCATGGATGTTGCGTCGAAGGGAACCAACTAATACTGATATACGAGTACATGGAAAATAATTGTCTATCTCGCATTCTTTTCGGTAAGCTTAGCTTTATAATCATAATCAAAATGAATAAACTTAGATATAAATTTTGAGTCTTTCTAACAATCATATACATATAGGGAAGGGATCAGACAGGAAAACAAAAATGGACTGGCTTACCAGGAAGAAAATTTGCCTTGGTATAGCTAAAGCTTTGGCTTATCTCCATGAAGAATCCAGAATTAAAATCATACATAGGGATATCAAGGCAAGTAATGTGTTGCTGGACAAGGATTTCAATGCCAAAATTTCAGATTTCGGTTTGGCAAAACTTATTGACGATGACAAAACACATGTTAGCACTCGGATTGCAGGAACAATGTAAGTTCTTCGTAGTTTGGAGTGAAGCTCCACTCCTAGTTTGTCATGAAAAATGAAATCATAAAGTTTGCATGACATAACACGCTTTGTTCTCTTTTTGCAGCGGTTATATGGCACCTGAATATGCAATGCGTGGCTACTTAACTGACAAAGCAGATGTTTATAGCTTTGGCGTGGTTGCATTGGAGACTATCAGCGGAAAGAGCAATACAAATTACAGGCCGGACGATGAATTTTTCTACCTTCTAGATTGGGTAACTAGACTTGATTTCAATTTTTGTTATATTCTAAGTGCATAACAATGCTAGTATAGTCTAAAATTTGAAAATTCTCTTAGGCCTATGTTTTACAAGAAAGAGGAAGTCTTCTGGAGCTAGTTGATCCAGATATTGGTTCCGATTATTCAACCGAGGAAGCCATGGTAATGCTAAATGTAGCTCTTTTGTGTACTAATGCATCTCCTACACTTAGACCAACGATGTGCCAAGTTGTGAGCATGCTTGAAGGTTGGACTGACATTCAGGATCTCCTTTCGGATCCGGGGTATTCGGCAGCCGGTTCAAGTTCAAAACATAAGAGTATAAGAAGCCACTTCTGGGAAAATCCAAGCAGATCACAAAGCATGTCAATACCTACTATTTATACCGATTCCTCTGGCTCGCATGTTGAAACAGAAGAGAACAAAAGTCTTTGTAAAAAATGACTCAGTTGGATCAGACAAATGAAGATAGTTTCCTAACATGTATTCATTACAAAACTTGTGATGAACTTAACACGAAAAATAAAAGAGAGCAATTATTATGACTAGAGTTATATTTTCTTCTTGTAGATTTTGAAGAATTATAATATCACCTTCTGATCTTTTCGCATGACTTCGAGTCCATATAGGCTAATATCGTAGATCCAGAAAGCCGCGCATTTGATATGGTCACTTAACCAAGCTTGTCAGCATCAATTGATGCTGTTCTTTGCTTGATTGGCGTATAATGTTGCAACCAATCTCCAATAAAAACCTCAAACAGAATGTACAACTTATAGTTCACCAAAACTCCTTATGGAACAGCCGAATGCTGAGATATAGCAAAACTCCATTCACTGCATACCTTCTTGAGAAGTGGCTTTGACAGTGCCTTACGGAGAAACATGTGCAGAAATACATTGACCAATAGAGGTGAGGTCAAGACCTCGTATTAAAGATTCAAAAACCCCGGGCCCTCGTTAGAGATTCTGAAGTCCCAACAAGTTACAACCTTGACATGAAAGACGATAACGCAAAGCAACTTATTAAGGGAATCAAGACAAACGTGATGGAATCAAAATTCTCATTGGAAGTGAAGAGAATACTGGTTGAGTTATATACAAAATTAGGTGACTTGCACATTATGCCCTACCACACTATAATGTACTTTAGAGCTTGAGGAACTAACTCTAACTACTTTACAACTAACTTTTTAACTGAATTACAAAGTAGTTGGTGATGTATATTGCTTGTTATCATGTGCCACATTCTAATCACTTTCATGCTTCAATATCTCCCTACAAATTGAAGGTTGGTAGATATCTATCATCTTCGACTTGGCCAATAAATCATTAAAAGGTTGAGGATGTAGAGCCTTTCTGAACAAGTCAGCAAGTTGATCTTTTGATTTTATGGGAAGTAGCTTCATAACACCTATGGTTTGTTTTTCCCTTACAATATGACAATCGATTTCCAAGTGCTTTGTTCTTTTTTGAAAAACAAGATTAGAGGCAATGTGGAGAAAACTTTGATTGTCACAATAGATTACAGGAGTCCTGGTACATTTTACGTGCAGAGCATCCATGAGATATAGGAGCCTTTGGAGCTTACAAGTGGTTGCTGCGAGGGCTCTATATTAAACCTCTGATGATGATCTTGAGACTGTCAATTGTGTATTTGTTTTCCATGAAATGAGTGATCTTTCAAGAAAGAAACATTATCATGAAATTGATCTTCGAGTGTCTATGCAGCCTGCCCAATCAGCATTTGAATATCCATTCAATTCCGGAGCTGAGTCTCTAGAGAAAAAAATGCCTCAAGCTGGGCATGTTTTGAGATATTTAAGAATTTTGCAAGCAACATTAAAATGAGTGACTGTGAGAGCTAACAAGAACTGGCTTGTTGTTGTGTACAGAAAGTTATGTTAGACCTTGTTGCATTTAAATACAACAACCTGCCTGCAAGTCTTCTATATGAAGGTATAACATGGTAATTGGTAAGGAATGCTAGAGTCCTGAGGCAGCTTTATGGAAGGATTAGATGGTGTAGAGACTGGTCTGAATTCCACTAAGTGTTAATTTCTTCTTTGTCTTGCATTTTGGCTCAATTTTTCAATTTTTCATACTTCGACATAGCTTTTGCTCATTAATTTTTTGAGTTCATCTTAATTTTCTCGTAAAAATTAAGTAATGATGATTGTCATCACGCGTCTTATCGAATGTTTTAAGCTAGGGCATATCTTTGTAAAACAAAGGCTTTTTATGACTCCTCTCGACATTGGATTGTTTCCTGATCCTCTATCAATGGAACCACAAAGGTCCAACCGTATAATTCGTCCACCAAAAAGGTATGATGATGAATCTATTTTTCTCACTGCCACTTTATCTAGTATGCATGTACATTTTATTCACAAGACTCACGGTGGATAAAGGCAATGCAATAAGAGTTGCAAGCACTTCGAGAGAATTATTCTTTGGTTATTGTTCCTTGTCCACCTACTACTAAACTCATTGATTCCAAATGGGTGTATTATGTTAAATTCAATTCAGATGGCTCCCTTGATCATTTCAAAGCATGATTTGTTGTCTTAGGCAACAAACAAGAATATGGAGTGAATTATGACGAGACCTTCTCTCCGATAGCTAAAATGGTTGATTTAATTTCATCCAATTCATACTTTTCTATAAAAAAGAATCACTAAATAATATATCTACATCAATAAAACCACTAAATGATATCTCTACATTAAAAAGAAACTAAATCCAATTAGAATCTAAAACCAATAAGAAATATACTTTTCATACTTTTATATAAAACAACGTTCATTTGATGAAATAAGAACCATACTTTTCTATAAAACATCATAAAATCAAATGTGCTAATAAATTATTGATGTAGCTTTGATGTAGCAACAAATGAACCATAAAACCATAAAGTCATGAAACCATTCTTATAGAACCATCATTTTCATGAAACCATAAAGCCATAAAACACATTCATTTTACGGTAACAGAATAAAATCAGCAATAACAAATATATTCTTACAAATCTATAAAGCAAATATGTCCTTCCATTTGAAGCAAATAAAGCAAATATATTCTTATAACAACAACATTAATTCCATAAAGCTATAAAGCATCTCCAATTTCCATGTAACACCAAATCTTCCCTCTAACATATTCTCTTTATTTTGTGAATTTCTGGCTTACACATTATTGTTAAGCTTCTAACTTTGTTTCTTAAAACCAAACTGTTATACTTTTACATTTGTTTGTGAAAATAAAAATATAATGAGATTTGAATTTTTAAAATAACTTATGCACAAAATACACAAAAAAATAAAAACCTTAAAAACATAAAATAGATCAAAAGAAGAAAAATACAACCACACAGTAACGACAATTATGAACAGTCTTTCTATAGATTTGATGAAAAAGAAATTGTTGGATTTTTAGAATGAAAAAGTAAATGCAGACGGTTTTGGGAAAACTGCCACAAAGAAAATAATCAGAACTAGTCGCGTACTAAGTCGCTTTCTTTAAGACGTTTCGTCGTACTGCCAAAATTATGCAATACAGTCACGACGATGTCTCTAGAGTAAAACAGTCCGTTCAAAAATACAATTATCACTTGCACTGTGATAAATCGTTCGTAGTGATAAATCGTTCAAATCGTTCGTAGAGATAAATCGTTCGTAGAGATACACCTTCAAATGGTGTTTAAACCACTTGTATTTAAAAGTAATTTCAGTCTGTCAATGGTGCGATAAACAACTCGTAAATCAAAAAAGAAAAAACTTAGATGAAGAGAATGAGAAGAGAGATTCCAAAAATGTTAAGAATTTTTTTTAGAGAGCCTTCAACTGATACAAGAGATTCAAGTTATATCAAAGGAACTGATATGATGGAGAGAAAATAGTGGAAGAATGGAGAGAAAATAGATGGAGGGGGTTATTCAGTCAAAATTAGGTTTATACTAGGTTTTGATGAGTGACTCGTTATAATAATTAATTAATATTAATAATTTAATTTTCACGTAATCAAATAAAATTAACTTTCATTAATTAATCGGATGACCCTTTCAAATTCACATCAAGTTTTCCAACAATCCTCCACTTCAATTTAAAAGGTAATTTTAGAAGTAATGTCAAACATTTCTAAGATTATGCATAAGCAAAGGTGTCTACGACTTGAACTTTTGCGTAGCAAGTAGGATTCTGATTCAACAAGAATGACACCATTGTCTTGAACTCTATCTCAGACATCAAACTCACACACAACCTTTTCTTAAGGTGTATTCTAATAGTCTGTACTTTAATGGTCCTGCACTTGTATCCCGATTTAGTGAAGGCTCTAGGAATTCTGCCTCAAAATTTCATAGGAACCGACCTAGGTTCCACAATCACATAGGTGAGTCTATCAAAAGTACTCATGTAGTCTAGGTACTCCCTCATACAGAGTATAGATCTCATTAAGAGTTTCTATTATCTCATCCTCTTATTACTACAGGATTTATGCTTCACTTGTATGCTCATCTCATATTGCTCACGACTTGTTGTTACCCATTAAACCTATTTCTTGGGATCTCCAGTCATCTAGGTTGGGTTACCATCATGCGCAATTTATTTTTTTATAGGCATTAGTTCAATCTTCTTGAATGTATTATGGACTTTCTCTCTAGCTAATCCTTTAATCAAAGGATCTGCTAAGTTTTCATCAGTGCGTACATGATCCACTCTTACAGTTCCTTTAGAGATACAACCTCTGATAGTTTTATGATTTCTTCTAATTTGACGTCTTTTACCATTATAATAACGATTCTCAATTTTTGCAATAATCGCAATACTATCGCAGTGGATCAACACAGTTGGCATAAGTTTTTCCCACAGATGGATCTCTGCTAGCAAGCATCTTAACCAACTTGCTTCTTCACTAGTTGTGGCTAGTGTTATCATCTTAGACCCCATTGTGGACTGAGCCATGATAGTCTGTTTCTTTGATTTTCAAGATACAACTCCTCCAGCTATACTAAATATATATACTAGTAGCTTTGGAATCATCTGATAAGTTGTTTCAATCTGCATCATTGTATCCTTCTAGTACATCAGGAAATTTCTGGTAATGTAGGCCGAGATCCATGGTCCTTTTAAGGTACCTCATGGCTCTTTCAATATCTTGTTAGTGCTCATTACTCGGTCTACTCGTAAACCTGCACAACAATCCTACGAAATATGCAATGTCGAGTCTAGTACAATCAGTGGCATACCTAAGACTACCAATGATGCTTGCATATTCTGTTTGTCTAACACTTTCACCAGTGTTCTTAAACGGTTTCACACTTGAATCATATGGTGTGCACGCAGGTTTACAGTCAAAGTATTTATATTTCTTTAAGATCTTCTCCATATAGTGTGATTAATTCAAAGAAATTTCTTGTCTGGATCTTGTGATCTTGATGCCAAGGAT